ACGAAGGACTCGGGAGGATTGTGTGTCCCCAAAACCCCAAAACCCCTCAATATGTGATTCAATTGATAATTAGTTATTTAAAGAAATTAAAATATCAGCTGTTTAAAATTTCTAAGAATCTTTTCCTTATTTTAAATTTATAAATGTGTGGGTGCTTATAACCATATTTTTCAATCTCACTTGGCTGTTTAATTTAAAACACCTCTGGCTTTTTTCCACTCTTCATACTTTTGCTTGGCTTCTATTTGCTTCTTGTTTTGCTTTTCAATTTCATGTAAATTACTTAAGATGGTCTTGGTCATTCGCTAGGTATGAGTAAACTTAGACTAAGACAAAGTTTGCATCAAAGTCTTAAAATCTTTGTCTACTTTTACTAAATTTACTTAAGGTGTTGGATCTAGATATCTGGTATCAAATTCATCATCAAACTTTTCATAGCCTTTCATTTAAACTGCCTAAGTCGCCATTTTTGAAATCTATGATTTCTGATTCTAAGATGTGTCCATTATCTTAACTCTGTGCTGGGTTTACAATTAATGGAGACTGATATTTCCAACACTCTGACTCTGCATCATCATTTGAGGTTTCATGAAATCTTCATCTGGGCCCTCTACACCTGTTCCAGTGCACACTCCCGGACTCATGTTAATATTTGCATCCACTGGGTTTCTCCTAGATAGGTAAGTAGACTAAGGCCTCTGAAGAGTTTAAATCAAAGGCACCTATTAGAAGTGTCCTCTTGAGGATCTATTCCTAATTAGAGTTCTGCTGTTCTTTGAGTGTTCAAAGAAGGAGTCCACTCTGGCGGTCTAAGGTCTTTTCTTGGAAGAGGATAGCTGCTCAGTCTTGGCAATTGATTTATTAGGAGATGGAGATGGCTATTGCTGCTACTGCATCATCATTTGAATTTGCTTTACAGCTTAATCCTGGTGAAACTTCCTTGGAGATACCACCAGTGACTCTCTGATTGTTTGTGTCTACGTCTTCTTTTCAGTAACACTCTCATACAAGCCCCCATAGTTGGTGCTAGCAGTAGTTTGATCTCGGTTACTGCTGTCAGTCTGATATTTAGTAAAGCCATACTTGGGCTTGGCATACTCGATGACCTGCTCTACATTTTAAACTGTGACTTTGGCATTGTCACTCAGCTCATTGAACATCTGATCTTTATTGTATTTTTACATTTAAGAGGGAGCAACGAATTATATCCCATAGTCTTTCTTTAATTTAGGCTGACTGGTTGTAGGTCTTTTGATTTTATACAGACTTTCATTAGGCTTACTTCTGATAACATCATTCTTTGAGTAACTTTGATTGACAAACTTCTCATAGTCTAGTTCCTTAGCCTTTTAAAGTTCAATAAGGTCTCCAGTCATCACTAGCACCTGCTTAAGTGTCTACTCAGCTCTCTTGTTTTTCTTGTTAACCAATGAACTTTGCATTACTCTGTGAGTCTGGCCTCCTCCAATTTAACTCACACCCATTTCTCTCTGCTAAATAATCATTGACTTGTTCCTTTGCATCATAGCTGATTAAGGCCTAAGTTACGATCGATTTTGCTGAGTCTGATTTAGTTGCTGCTGCTACGCTGTCAGATTTTATTTCTACCTCTTCTTTTACTCTTCCCTAAGTTGCTTATCTAGCAGCTCCTTAGCTTCTTCAAAAACTTTCTTCATATTCTCCTGTACCTGCTTCTGTTCTTTTTCCTCTTGAGACTATGCCCCGCCCTCTTCATTCTTAAAAGTACTCTGCATAAACATCTGCAACTCCTTATTTCTCTTGAACTGAATGCACTGGGTATGCACTCTTCTTATAGTAGACAACTAGTCCTTGAGATGCTGCTTGTCCAAACGTACCAAGTCTCTCTTCATTTGGTTAAGTTTTTTCTTCTGAGAGTTGTGCTGGTCCATGTTAACTTGTTTGTAAAACTAACGATTCTTGAGGGATAATGTAGCCATTTGCTTTTTCATTTACTGCAATTCACGGTCTTCTGCCAGTAGGACTGCTGGGGAAAGGGGATTTACGACATGCTAAGCCAATTGGTCTTCATTTTCATCATCATCCGAGTCATTGTGATGCGGAATAGGAACTAATGGCTTGTGATCTAAGTTGGGGTTTGACTGATTATTGCTATTCTTATTATGTAAAGCTTGATTCTTTTGATAGAAATTAAGATTTATTTTTGGGGGCACTGGCTGCTAAGCTATTGTATGCTGATTGATCTTCTCCATTACTATTTTCTTTATAGTCTCGTATTTGTCCTAGGCATTTTACTGTTTAGTAAGATTGGTTTTACCTGGGAGAATCAACTGTCCTCTTTTGTAGTTGAAATAGGCTTAATTATTTTGGAGTGTCTAAATGAAAGAGTTACATCTCTTGATCTTTTCATCTTTATTCTTATAAGGCCCTCTTCGATCCAGAGTATTCACAACTCCTTTTTACAGCACTTACTGCATATCTACTCTCAATGGCTCTATTAATCTATCTTCTCTAGCTGTCTCTGCCTTGTAACTCTTGAGTAGCTTATGTGATCCTTAGTCTACTTACTTTACTAAATGACCTATTTATTTATCTAATTATTGTCTTTGTTGTTAGCGGTGATCACTTTAATACTAGTAATAATTCTTCAGCATCATCATATTACCCTCCTCCTCATCTAAACTGTTATCATAATTCTTTCTATATTAGCGTCAATTAATTAAGATGTCAGTGGATGAAAAAATATGCAAATTTTTGTAAATTTATGTCTAATTGATATTTCTGACTTACCTTGCATCAACCATTTTAGATCGTGAATTATTGAAAGTTTAATTATGAATTCAACTATTTTAATAAAAGAAAAGTAAAAAATAATAATAAAAATTTAAAAATCATCTACATAATTGTGTGTAGAACAAGTATTCTTGATTTGACAATCACCTCCCAAACAAACCACCACCACCTTACTCAGTAATACTCGACCAAAAATACTCTTTAAATCAATGGAAAGCTAAAAGAGACAAACGAGTGGACAGTCTTAATCCATGTCTTCCACTAACCAAAACGTAAACAAACGCAAGGAAAAGGACGTGATGAAATTGCTAATCAGCGACTACGATGTAGTTTGTGTCAATGAAATACTTAATAACGAGTTCATCATTAGACTTAGAGGCCCAGCCAACTCAAACTACGACGGGGTAAGATTTCTCATTTACTTTCTAAGTAAACGAAAATAAATGTTAGGGTCAATGGTTTGTAAGAGTAATGCTTCCTGAATAGTATCCTTACAAGTCGCCATCAATTGGCTTTATTAACAAAATTTATCATCCCAATATAGATGAACAGTAATTTTCATTATATTCTATTTCTCACACTTACTATTTTAACCATATTACTCGAGCATTTTATAACCTATTGAACTTACATATAGATCTGGAAGTGTGTGCCTTGATGTGATAAATCAGACCTGGTCTCCGATGTTTGACCTAGTGAACATTTTCGACATATTCATACCTTAGTTATTGCTTTACCCTAATCCTAAGGATCCCTTAAATGGAGAAGCTGCAAATATGCTTAATAGAGATGAAAAAGCATATAATTAAAAAGTAAGTTTCTTTGAAAATGCTCTGCATTTTTTAAAAAATTTGACAACAAGTAATCCGCTTTGAATAGGTACGAGATTATGTGAAGAAGTATGCGACAGTTGAGCATTTGAAGTTAAATTCATTTTACTAAGAAATGGAAAAGAATTCAAATTAATTAAAAGCAGTAAAGATAAATCCAATTCCATAAAGTAACTTAGAAGAAGAAAAGGTTGACACCAAGAGATTGCCTTTTAAAGGCAAATCAGATGATGATGAAGATGACAGTTTGAGTGAAACATCCTTGCTTGACATGGATGGCTCAGATGAGGATTAGGATGATTAACAAAGCGATATCTAATCCGGATCAGATTCTGATGAATCCCAGTCGCAGAATCAATCAAAAAGCACCTAGAAAAAATAGAAAATTATTATCAAAGAAATGATCAAGTCATCATCGGCTTAGGTTAAACAGGCATGATTATTCAGATGCGTAGTCCTGCAGTGAAATTTAATATAAAAATTCCCCAGACTTAGAGATAGGGATTGAAAATGAGTTACAATTTTTATGGAAAAGGCCACACAAATTGAACTACAATTTATGGGAATTATCATAAATTACTTAATATTTATCTTTATCCTTATGCTTTTGCATTCCAACTTTCAGGGGTTTTGGGGTTTTGGGGTTTTGGGGTTTTGGGGTTTTGGGG